TTTCTCTTTTCAACAGTTTTATATCAAATCAGCATTTTCATATTTTAGAAAGTAGATGAGTGACTCTTGTGACAGTTAGGTCATTTACTTAGATTAGTTATCAACAAATGAATAGTTACAATAGTTTACTTCAATTGTTAGTATTTACAACACAAAGAACCATTCTTTTGAGAGCGTAGAATGAAGGCAAGTGCTCCACAGGTTCAGTTTGCAAACCCACACCCTGACCGGTTAATATAAGACATGTGACCTGACCCACTATTAAACTCATTTTTCGTTAAACATTAACAATCATTAATAAAGTGGTGTTATTTTGTGCACAGCAAGCCAAAAAAGCAAACAGTGTGACCGCACTGAAAATGTCGTTTTTGATCCATGTTTGAATCAAAACACATGTTTGTTGGCTAAACACCAACAAACATGGATTAATGCAGAATATTTTGTTAGATAAAAACATGTTTGTCATCTTTTTCAATGAACCTTGACTTTTGGACAGAGGACTGAGAGAGACAGTGAGAACATTACAGAGTTGGGCAGCAGCACAGTTTGTGTTTGATAGAAAAAGTGGAACATCGTCATGAAATACGGCCAATTAGCTTGATAATATTAGTTTATTTAGATTTAAAAACAAATTGTTAAACAGTAATTTTCATTGCTAGTTCCTCCTGAATTTATTTTACATATTTGTGTTCCCTCTCACATTTAGTTTTTCTTCCTGTGCCCACATGTTGATTCAAATAAACAGTTTGTTGCAAACATATAAAACCCATGTGGAATGAAAACATAAACCACATTTTATACCAACAGCAACACTACCATAACATGGTAATTATTTTTAATCAGACAGGTGCAATGTTTGCGTGCCTTGACACACATTCCTGAAATTCTTCAGAAGAGACGAAATATCACTGTCCGTACGCCTTCCTGTCAACGTATTACTCCTCTGTCGCTGCTGTCCAGACCCCAACCACTGGTCTCACTTCTCATCTGCTCATCGGCTCCAGTACCTCTTCTTTCTCCCTCTCATTTTCTGTCACATAGGACATTGTTTCACTCTTTGTTTTTATCTTTCTGATTTCCCGGCATTAGGTGTCTCCCTATCTTCTGTAGGCATCATGTTCAGCTTTTAATCCATATCCTCATGATTCGCCTCCCTGTTGAGAGTGCTGTGCATTTCCTGGTGCTCTGATACGCGTTTATCCATATCTCAGTGCGAGACTCTGAAAGTTAAAGGGGAGAAAAACAAACGTTTTTTTAACTTGTTTGATGTTATCATCCAACCTTCCTGACTGATGATCATGGTCTGCACATCAAACGCATTTTACGTTTGGATTAAAAAATTAAGGAAGCAAGTGAAGGTTAAGCATTTACATGATACTGTATGCTTGTTTGTGTAGGTGAATACAAATCACCAAAGTTAAAAAATGCAGCGTCTCGTAATGAACAAAAGGGAATTGTTTGGTTTGTTTCACTTGCTGAGCATGACAATACATTCCTTTAAGATTACGTTTGGCATTGCTCTGCCGCAATGCCTTTGGAAAAAAACCAAAAAAGAACTACCTTGGGTAACTGACTGTCGGCTTTTATTAAACTCGGGATTGAAACAGCAGACTTCTGAAAGCTAGACTACCTGCTTTGGGTGAAACTGCTCAAAGGGCTCACAGTAATTCTCTGTTGCAATCATTATTCTAGCCACCTTTATTTCATTTCCTTCAAACTTTATTAAAGCAGCTAAGAGCATTGGGTGCCAGACATATTATTCCACAGGGCCATTTGCATAAAACTCAACTGCGCTTTTCTGGCCATATGGGTCTTGGTAGAGCACTCTGCATTTCACTGAGGTAAAAACTGGAGGTATGTAGATGGTATCACGCAAGTCATTTTACTCTCCTAGATGGAGACTAGTGTTAATTAGACCGAGCTGAAAGGCTTTGCAGTTTCTCAGCAACACTATTGAGCCATTTGGATGCTGAGCAACTTTTAGCTTGTTAGCCAGACCTAAACGACAGAATATGCATGACCCCCGCTTTTTAGAAATCCTCTTGATATGTCAGAAAGGAAAATAAATATGTAATTTGAAGGATCGCTGCTCTCCTATGTCCTTGATCAAATGGAACTTTTACTTGAAGGTGTCTCTTTAATTAGCCTCTCTGCAAGTGTGGGGGAAGTGGATGTGGAGGGAGTGGGCGGATTAATGCATGGACGTGTGTGCATGAATGTCAATTTTTTATCCTTGCTTGTATATTATAAAGTGAAAATCTGATCTTTAAAAAAATTAAAAACCTAAGAAAGTTAACACAGCTTTGATCCCACCATATATGCTTCAGTATACCTCCCTGCCCACACACATTGAGCAGGATTCCCTTGAATCCCTCTGTCCTAGCTGATGACAAAATCCAACCTTCACAGATCATTTGAAAGAAAAAGCGAGACATCTTCTTCAAACTGAGCGCACTGAATTAACGCTTATTCATGTTAACGCTTATTCATGTTATGCAAATGTAGAACTGCATCTTCAATCAAATCAGGAAAGACACAATTAAACCTCAATGATTCCGAGAACTAGATATCCGGATATAACAGGAAGGAAGAAAACAACAAATCAGCAAGTTATAAGCATAACAGCGTGGTTCATTGAATCACTACTATAGGTAGAGGTGGTGTTCCTGTTTATTTAGAAGACCCAGGGGGATGAACGATTCAGATGCTTTCTGAGATGACGGAAATATGCAGTGATTTCCATCTGTGAGAAATGCATTGTGATGTACAAGATCAGAAGAAACTCTACTATTCACACCTTAGCTGATTTCCCTTAACATTTGACAAGTCACACACATCCCTCTTCTTCTGTCTCCTGTATCGTGCATTCTAGTTACTCTTCCTCCAACTTTTCATATGCAGAGTAGAAAAAGGGGTATCTGAATAGATGTGTTAGCAACTGTGGAGTTGACACTCACCAACTCCGCCCACATGCCTTCATCGACAGCCGTCTTCAAAACCAATTTTGGGAATCCTCTCCCTTCCCTCTACATTCATTTTCGCTTTCCCCTCACTGAACATCTACAAATCATTGGGGTGTAGGATAAAAGGCATGCACACAGGGAGACGAATGGTTTAATTTTGATTCAAATTGCATAAAGTGATCTAATCGGAATAGCTGACAAAAACTCTATGAAGGAGAAGTGATAACCTGCAGGCTGCTTCCTTATTGCAGGAGATGGGGGAGAAGTACCGGGCTGGTTTACAGGTCTAATTGCAGGAGTCAGTATGGAGACTGAGAGACTGACATAGGAGGAAGAGCTCCTTTGGGATTCAACACTTAATGAATGAGAAGTCAGGATTCACAGCTTTATGTTTTTTTTCAATTAAAATCTGTTGGATTCAATCTTTTTCATGTTCTTTTTTTTTACAATTATGTTCTCCTTTTTGCATATAAGCCTGCTTTTATCTGCATTGGTTTTGTTCCCTTTTCATCCATTGTTTTTCTTTCTGGTTCTACTGCTTTTCCTTCAGTAGCTTCCTGTATTTCTAGCTCGCTCTTATACATTTCAAACATCACTTTTTGTCAATTTACATACAATGTACGTTCCTATCTGATGTTGTTGCCCAACATGACATCTCAATCAGGTTTGCCATCAGTTTTCTAAATGACATTCGAATGGCAAAATGATTTCCTCGAGTTAAAGGGAGGTTTTTTTTTGTATCTATGCCCGAATATCTGTATGCATGCATACCTGGGGTTTGTTTATGTACTGTATATTCTCAGGTTATTTGCCTGCTTGGACCTATATCAAGCTGCACATTTCATTTGCCGTTCAAACGTTACCTGGTGAGATTGCGTAAGCTTATTTTGAGTCAAAGACCATAATCTATCTATAAATCATAACACTGAGAGTTTTCTTTCATTGGTACATTACAAATGTTTAATGGTGCCAAGATGTTTGTCAAACTGTAAACACATATTGATAGAATAACACATCTCCAGATGGGTATAAAACACCCTACCATTAAAAAATGAAAGCAGTCTACGGATTTGCCTTTTTGAGTTACCTGGGTCCACTGAGCCTCATTGGTGTAGATAACCGTTACAGTATATCTGGATATCAACCAGCTCTTTCAAATCTGTGTTTTACTAACAGGTTAGAGCTTGTTCATGTCAAAGAGTTCACAATAACATGAAGCATTCTCATTCGCCCTGAAGGTCTGGTTTCAGGTGTCACATCCTTACCTAAGGCCGCATGACAGATCCGTGAAAACCAAAACAAATCACGAAAATAAATGGCTGTCACCTGAGAACAAATCTTTACACTTGTCTGAAATACGGAATATGATTCAGAGTGTCTTATATATTTGCTCCCATCAGATGAGTAAAAGGATACAGATTAATTATGTGGGTACCGTGAAATTGATGAATATCATGAATACTAAGCTACTGTTAAATGAATTCTAGCTAATTAAACTGCTTACACTACAGCTATAATTCCCTCTACTGTAATAACAGTGGTTTGGCATCAGATTTTTAACAGCATGCTTTTAAGGGATGTCTCTTTGAGACCGTCCCATTAAGAGGATGAACATCGTAAACATTATATCTACTTAGTATTAATGTCATTGTGAGCACATTTGCATGCTGATGTTAGCAGTCAGTTCAAAGCGCTGCGGTACATACAGCTTTACAAAGCTGGCCAACAGTAGTTTAAGTGACAGTAAATGATCAGCAACAAACTAAATTACCAAGTCCAAGACATTTTTCTTTGAGAATCGAACGTGTCTTCTTTCTTGCCGGATGCCTGTTGATTTGTAGTCACTTTATCAACATGATACCTAGCCTGGCTCACTGTATCATATCACTTAATCCTATAAAGATGTTGTTAGTACACTATGAGTCCTCAGGCTTTTTTTTTATCTCCACTCAAAGCTCTGCTGTTAGTTGAAACATGTGTATGTGCAACCTATATCCCTCTCAGTGATTTCTTCTTTTCTTCTCTTGTTTCCCTCAGAGCCAAGAAGAAGACCAAGCCCTTGAACCTTAAGATCCACAGCAGCGTGGGCAGCTGTGAAAATCTGCCCACGCAGCGCTCGCCCCTCCTCACTGAACGATCTCTGCGATCCTTCTTCTTTCCCTCCTTCATCCCTTCCACACCTCCTGTCCATGCTGAAACCCCCTCTGCAAGTGAGTGAATTCTCTTATTTTTTTTTAAATGGGATCACACTCTAGCTTTAATAAAATTAGGTGCCTTCACTTTACCTCTTTCATATTACAACCCCTTTCAACATCTGCTTATTAAGCTCTCTTCTGGGATGTCATTCTGCTAAATTAAATCAAAAGGTCTAGTGCTATTATCTATACTCTTCTCATATGTGCTTTTCTCACCTCTGTCCAATTTCTAGTGTCAATTTGGAACCTTCTTCTTTTCTATTGTGCCGGAAAAAAAACACTCACACCCATAATCACCATAATTATTTTTGTTAAGAATATATTTAAGTACAGTGTTGGGAAATGCAACAATAAGGCGGTGCCATAATGACCGGAGGTGGTGTGTTGTTGCACATTGGCAGCCTTATTGCCTGATGCATTATGTGCATACTGCGGAAGCCATTAGACTAAAGGAGGAGATGGGGAGTAATGGAGGTTGTGTCAACGCAAGGAGTGATGAATGGTGATCACTTAGTATTGTGAATAGTAGTAGACCTTGACTAACAGGTATGTGGGGCACAGTGCTGCATATTTATCGGTCGAGGCATGACTTGGAATAATCACACGCCATATAAAGCTGTGCTTGGATTACAAAATACAACTGTGATGATGACAGGCACCTAGCAGATAAATGTGCATTTATTGTAAATTCTCCCGTGCTAATGATTTGTTCCGGATTATTTTCTTACTCAACATACAACACTGCTTTTTCTTAAGAAATGTAATCCAGGCCCACATTTTCAATGAATACAAGATAATAAAGTAAGATATACTTAATAAGATAAGATATACTTATCTTATTATCTTTTACTACTTTAAATTGTGGGCCTGGATTCCATTTCTTAAGAAAAGTGTCTCATTTATTTTTATTTTTATGTGGGATAAGTTAAATGTAGTTTTTCTCACTTGTCCAAACACATGTCAATCATACAATGCTACTTATGTAATCATTGTTATTGCGACATTAATTATAATAATACGCTTTATTTGAATCGGACCTTTCATACAAGATTTGCTGTCTAAAGTGCTTCACAGTAGAGAATTGACATCTCATGAAAAAGCCACAGAAAATTGAGAACACATAGAATACAGTTACTAATAAAATACATAAGAATAGACATAAAATGAGCATGGAATAGACATCGTATATAATATAGATTGCATTAGAAGGAGGTTAGTACAAGTTCACATTGCGATTACAATTATAGGTACCTTGTCACATTTTACTTTTACGTTTTTATCATTTAACTTGACCATCGTGTATCACATGCTTTGTCTTTGGCTGTTAATCAAAAGTCTAGACTAGATGAAATCAAAAACCATGATGTGGTATGTGCATGTAGCACTTCTTTCATTAGCAAAAACATCTTGATCTTGTTTTATTATTTCATTTAAGACAACTTAGATAATATTAATATGCAAGATATTGTTATACTTAAGTGTCAGCTTTAACTTTTAATTTCGACACCTTCAGTATTAATGTTGAAAACAGGGTTTCAGGTTACAGATAGAAGTCGAGGTTGGGCTTATCTGCAGTTAGGATGTTTGTGTTCCTTCACTGTAACTGATCCGTCATTCTGTGTTGTTTCTATCAACATCAGCTGCACAAAGCAGAACATACCTTTGCACGGAGAGAAGAGGAGGTCTTTCTTTTTTATTTACCAAACCAAGATGATGCTTTATTGTCATAGCTTTAATTCGTTTTTACTATATACTGTAAAGTGCCCTTTGAGTACCCGTATAGCAGCTACACAATAACATGTATTATTATTATTAACATTAACATTAATATGTCATCTAAACATCCACCTATAACTTACCTTCATTCCATGGAGGCTGAACGTATTATGCAGATACACTGTACCCTGTTTTGCACTCTCTTATGGTTATTATTTGGGTAAAATAAAACTGGAATTGTATGTAATCAATACAATGTGTATAAACTGTAAATCACTGAGTGAAGAGAAAGTGGAAGTTTTCTTTGTGGAGCTCCTTAGTTGATCCCGTGGTTCTCCAGATCCTATTTTAGGAATGGTGTGTGTATTTCTATGTGTGTATGTCTGAGCATCAGACACACGTGTATGCGCCCGGTAAGCGAGGATAAACACCTGTTCCAGGTCTATGTTTGGGATTAGGGCATCACTGCCGTCTCATACGTCAGGGCCCTCCAGCCAGCAGCATTGTAACTCATCTCTGTAGCGCTCTGAATCAAAACAATTGGAGGACCTACAAGACGCTGGGGTGACCAAACGCTGTCTGCTCAGGATGAGTCAGCGCCCGGTCGAAGCTGAAACGTCAGCATCCTCCTGATATCCTCCTATAAGTTGCTATGGCTTTCCACCTAGAAATACTTTTTGTGATAGTCTGGTTATGATACTATTAGATAACATTTGAGATTCACAGTAGTGTTTCTTTGCTAGGGTTGTCTTTTGCACAAAGTGGGGTTCTGACTGACTTTCCCCTGCATGGGCTTCAACATGCTATTCAAAATGTATCACCTTCCTATGTTAAAGGGGCTCTATTATGATTTGTGGGTTTTCTCTTTCCTGTAGTGTGTTATATAGCTTTCTTTGCATGTAAATCTGCAAAGGCTCAAATCCCTGTGTTACCTCCAAAGGGAGTTTCTCTGCCACACACTTCCTGAAACGCTCCATCGGACCCCTTTTGTTCACTTCAGCGACAGTGACATCAGTACGTAACACTTGCACTTCTATTGGCTATTGCTCCAATATATTGTACGTGATAATAAGGCTAAAGGGCGGGACATCTCTGAGCGGTTGACCAATCGGAGCAGACTGGGCTCTGGTTTCAGACAGAGGGTGAAAAGAGGTGCTGCAGCACAGGCAGAATGAGGAAGTGAAAGACCTTCTTAAACATCAAACCATGTTAACATGTCACAGTAGAGGCACAACATATGAACCTGACATTGAGCAGAAACTGGCCCTTTTAAATACAGGCTCATTAGAATATACCTACAGTGTCTATACCCAAGGCTTGAGAACTACCTTTGCGATTTTGGGAGGGGGCGTAAAGAGACAGGTGCTAAAACAGAGAGTTTCAGATCGAGTGTTCAGAGACATATCCAGACAAACAGTTTGAGAAGAATAATGTGTTTTTTGAACATTAAAATATGTAAACATGCTCTATTAGAAACTCAAAACAAAAGAATGAACCTCGAGCAATGGTTAATGTTTGTAGATTAAGGGACAACAACAAATGATTAGGTTAGGAAAAAGATCACACACGCAAACATACACATTCAGCAGAAACTACACAATCTACTTTGTCTCGGTACATGGTGTTTTTTGGAGTGCATGTATTTTCCTTATTGACACAGGACTTTAGTTTATTCTCCCTGGAATGGAAGTTGTATGGAAAGTTTGAGGTTTGCATAATATTAAATCTCTTCCTCTCAGCATTACTTTGCCCTTATGCCTAACTTTATATTATAGGAATCACAAAGGTAGGGAGGATCATAAAAGATAACATTGATTTATTGCCTTTTTTATTTAGATTGCCCTCATGTATACTTGATGTAATGGGAACATCAAAATAAAAACGTTCTTACAGTTTTGTTTTGCCATCACACCTGGAAGGACAATGCAAGACAGGACATATCTTGTGCAGCTCCTACTAATAATTATAAAAATAAAAATCATACACTTTATTTTTTCAAACTTTTCTGGTCATTGAGGAGAGTGTTGACGTGTTTTCACAGCCAACACAACCAAAGCACCTACCATGGACAAATAACAAAAATACATTATAAAAAAATCTTGGATGCAAAATCTGAATTTTTCTAGTGAGGCTTCGGACGCACATGTACAAACAAAAGGATGCATGCAATCATCATTTATGTGGCCTTGCTAATACCTAGAGATGGGCCATTGCACTGTCTCTCATTCTTAGTCTCTTGTGCTGAGTCTGTTCATGTTTATGTATGTGAAATAGATGTTTTTAATAAAACAATTTCAACTCTCTGCAAGCAAATAGCAGTTTCTTTGTTTACCCTCATGGTCAACTTGAATAATACATTTTCAGATTTTTTTTTTCTTCTCTCGCTCCCATGATAAGTCATTGTTTTTCCAATGGAACAAGTGATGGTGGCCACAGAGGGACATTTTCAGCTCACCTCTAGCCCCTCAGGCTGTTTGAGCTCACATAGTCTGAGGCCACGTTCACACGGAGACGTGTGTGTGTGTGTGTGTGTGTGTGTGTGTGTGTGTGTGTGTGTGTGTGTGTGTGTGTGTGTGTGTGTGTGTGTGTGTGTGTGTGTGTGTGCGTGCGTGTGATGCAGAGAAAGAGAGAGTGTAGGAGTCTATGAGTGTGTGCTTATGGATATAAATGGCTTAAATGTTCTTCATACCCTTTGCACACAACTCAATCTGAGTGACGACACTAGTACACATGTAGAAAATAAACACTCACCCTAACCTCGCTTAGACACTTTTGCGGTTGCGTCACAGATCTCCTAGCAACCGAGTGTGGCACCTCAATGGAGGTCCCTTTGAGAGTTTGCAAATAAATAATGGCTACAAATAACCGATACATTTAAAACAGGGTGAGGACAACGATGGCTTAAGATTGGCTTCAATTTATATATTTATCACTGCAGACATAACGTTTTGTCATTCAGGAATCATTCTTGTATGTGTGTTTGAGGAAATGGATGTTGACATGTTGAGTCATGCCAAGGAAATACAGAGCCAATCATATTCAGCTTTCTTAATGTCTTGTTTATTTCATCAGTCAGAGTGAACCAATACCCTAAGGGCAAGAGAGTCAAAAATCAAAATCTTAATTTTCTGATGGCACGGATAGACCTTAAAGGGGGAGCACCTGCCGTTATGCTTGGAAAAGGGATATTAACAAGCTGGAGAGAAATGTTCCTGTCGCGTTTTCTTTAAATCATTATTTCTAGAATTCAAAAACGTATATTCCTTTGTTTTCACTTACTCTCCCTGATGCTTTTTTTA